TATATATTCTTCGGCATCCCTTTCTTTTCTCAGTTTCTGGCTTCAGATCCGGCTTGCAAGTCATGTTTGAGTTGTATTCTTGGCATGATCTCATGGATATTTCACATCTCAGGCGAGAACTAAACTTAAAATTATATCGTCTCTTTCGATCTGGAGATCGAATTCCCTTCTCTGTTTGTATGATCTGAGACTCCACAGAAAAAACGCTAACTGCCCCATCTGAACTCGAACATGTTCGCACCTATGTGCTACCTAAGCAATCTTATTTGTTTAGCTGCACACGGGCCATGTATGTTACCTTTCAAAAAGCGCGCGTGTATTCCGCATGTTTTAAGAAAAGACTAGGTAGCCGTTTCATCATCGATACAATTTTGTTTTGTCTATCGCGGCGATTGTTTGCTTGCTTCAACCCATATGGCACTCAACTGCTTCTTGCACTGCTCCCACCCTACAGGCACACTGGGTTTTATGGCTCCGGAGATATTTGACGAAAAATATGACGAGAAGGTCGACATTTACGCTTTTGGTATGCTCATGCTTGAGGTGATGACAAATCGTACACCGTACGATGAATGTGAGACAGTGATGCAAGTCGCGGCCAAGACAATGTCAGGACAAGGTCCCGATATCATGGATAAAGTACTCAACCCCTCACTCCGTGAAGTCATTAGCGCCTGTATACAACCACTGACCTGCTTTCGTCCATCCGCAGAGGAATTGTACTTCCATCCACTTTTTCAGGTGAGGAGTTCTACTGTTTATGGTGATACCCATTGGTGTAGTTTTGCTTGTGTATTACGATGCGTACGTCATACACAGGTTGCATGGGTAGATGTTTTTTTCTATGGACAGTTTATTGTTCTCACTTCCTTTTACTGCTTGTCGAAACTGTTTGGCACGAAAATCCTGAGACTTCGTAGCAGCCTTGTTGAAGTCGAACATCAGTTGGGCACATGTCTTTGTATGCACATGCACATGGAAACACGTCGTACAAATGCACCCCCTTTTGAGGTGTTGGCTGTCTGGGATCAAAACACCTCGGGAAGTGTAGGGATCAACGACATGAGGTCAGAATTTTTTGACAGTATATTTACCTGACATTTCTCGCATGCCCTTACAGCAAGTCAGCAAATCAACCGAAAGGGGCTAATTCCTGCGAATGACATATCCATCATTTTGTAATTCGTGTGTGTACAAGTAAGCAGTTTTTTTTACAGTTGGAGTTGACTCCAGGAAGGAAAGAATTTGGGCATATTGAGCCTCCTTGTACTGGAACCTGAGAGCCGTCCGGGTCTGCGAAGTTGTTCTCTCCGAAAAATAATCATTTGATGTTTGAGGGTAACGTTTAATATGGCATGTTTTAGAAAAACGGTTCCCAACCATGAGGATTTTGGTAGTTCAGAGAGGATGAAAGTCCAGACTGAAAGCTGGCACCCTGTCGTGGTGATCAGACTTCTCTGATGCAATGATGCTGCGAAGAGCAACAAGCCCTCGTACTATGAGTAATCGCGCTACGAGGCGGTCTGGGGGTAAAGTCGTACTGTCCTCTGCGGCAGGAGTGTGAAGGCAGTAAGGTGTAACGCAGGCGACCAGCGTATCTATGTTCATGGAAGCAGCGGTGCTCCCTTCCCCCAAGGAAGGACGGATTAGAACAGGTTGCCTCTAAAAGCCGCACATTCGCCAGCACATTCTTAGGTGCGGTCGAAATACCTTTAAAACCAGAGTCCAGTGATCCTCAGTATGCGCTTACTGTGCGCAGCCGCATTAGGAGTCAGACGATATTGTCAGCCTGCTGCACTCAATCAGGCCAGACATTGACTCAATTGCTCGGGAAGGAGTTCTCGAACCAAACCCTACATCTCCCTATTGCGTTTCGGCTCAGACTTTTGAGTTAAAGGCTTAAGGTGAGATACCCCAACCAACTTTCCTTCTTCGGTCTGGGCGATAGGGAAGTATCATTCGCCCTTACGGGTCTTCATTCACGTCCACATGTCCCTTTCCGAAGTCCTTCCACTTCATTTAACTGTCAATCACCTATGTCAGTTTCTGGTCAGTAAAGTGAATAAAAATAGATCCGTTAGATTCGAGCAACCCGTTGCACATTGTTGCTTTCAACGTCCGTACTCTGTGTCACATTGACCAACAGACACTTGTACAGAACTTGTTTTCTCTTTCGGTCGATGTATTTTGTGTCCTCGAAACACACTAACAGCACCCCAGTTCGATCATATATCTCACTCTGCTCGGCACCAATCCGAATTTCTCGCACATTTCTTATCAGGTATCTGGTGGTCCTGGTACAATGACTATGTTATCTTCGATGCTTGAGCGGTACTTAGCCCCGGGACCAAATGCGCCTTCTGGACTGGCTTCCAGTAAAGCCGTCTCTGCGCTGATAGGCTGACTATTCCAGTCAAGATCCATATGTTTCGATGTGATAAATGGCGTTTGTTTGTTGTGTCAGCATATGTGCGACGAACGGCAGCTCTGAGGCTGAAAAAGACAGCTTCTATCGAGGTCTGGCGTTCAGCGAGAAGTACAGGTATCATAATTCTGACGGGTGATATTGAGGAAAAGTGAAAGAAGCGATGATCACATTCTTTGAGACCGTCTCTTCAAGGTGAGCGCCAGTGAACGCTATCTCATGATCAACAGCTATGAAGGACTACTAGGGCGTTGGTGAATTGCAAGAGCCAGGAAGATGGAGGCTTTTAATACGGGGGAACAATCGTACCCTATTCCACCTGTTACGATCAACTGGACCGAGGAGGTGAGTTTTGGTATGACGATCTCCGAAAAAGATAAGATCTCACTTAATTCGCAGATGCGTTGTCTCGAACGATGAGTTGAACTCTGTAGAACGGTGTAGCTGGGTCCTATCAACTCACTCTCTAGAAAGACCAAATGAACCCGAGCGGAACGTGAGTACCAGTTGTCGGCAGAAGTCCACTGTGCAATTTCATTGCTTCACTGCAAAAAACTATCTGGTCCAGATAGTTTGGATCTTGCTCTTTCCAAAGGTGGTGAGTGTGCCTTTGCCATCTTGACTACTTTGCTGCAAAATATCTGGGGTCAAGAAAGAACGCTGACGGAATGGAGCTCCTCGATGTTGGTTCCCATATTAAAAATGGGTGGATGGACGTCACGCAAAAACCACCGGGGCATCAGTCCAGTGGTCGTAGTTTCCAAGGTGCTGTTTTGTATTGTTGTACGTGGGTTGATCCATCACCGAAAGAATTGGATTCACGGTAATCGAGCTAAGCCTCGCTCCGTTTGCATTGATCATATCTCCACTTTGTAAAAAGTGTTAAAACTATGTCACCCCTTCCGAAGGCCATTACCGATCGGTTATCTGGATCTCAGATGTGCTTTTGATCGTCAGAAACGGCCATAATCCGGCGACGAAAGGTATCTGTTCTAAGTTCCTCTATCTTATAGGGGCTCATGCACCTCCTGTGGATGCGTAGTTCTTTGCGGCCAATCATTTCCCCAGTTCACCACCAGTATGTAAGGCAAGACTACCTTTTTGTTACATTTTCTTTTTGAGTTCCTAATCTATCTGCTATCTATAGGAGACGTGGCCACTGCCTGTGTAGGACTTCTGAATTCTCTCCATGTTTGACCGTCAGTGCGTGGCTCTGGTTGTTGTAAGGTACGCCAGACTGTTTTCGAGAGAGGTCATTCCCCCTTGATGGATGAGCTGATCACACTCCACCGGTTAGACGGGTTAGGTCTTGTTACGTGTACCAGAGGGTCGTTTGCCTCATAGAGCCATTTTCTCCCCGTCTTGTGTCGGATAGAGACGACCTAAAGACTTCATAACTTGGTAACGAAGTATAAGATACTTTACCGCTTAACTGATTTGCGTTGTTATCTGGCGTCTTCGCGAATGCGGACCGCGGGTTGAGACAGACGCTGAACGACATGACTGTTGAGCACTCTTTGGCGGTCTTTCACGAAAGTTCTCACCTTCACTGCGTAGCTCTCACTTCCTGTCGTACGGGACGAACAGATGTATCTGTTATCAGTGAAGGGATTGGGTCATCACCCCCAATGCATGGCCCTCGCTCCCTGCATCTCCCTATCCTGGGTGAGCGGAACTGTTGCCGCTGGAGCCCCTGCATTTCGTGTGCTGTTTGTGGACTGAAGAACCGAGCTGAACTGAATGCCCCGAATTTGAAGATACCATCTACAACGGCAGTTTCAGTTGGTTGAATTAGTCGTGTACATCAGGTGGCTGTGCGCATATAAACTTGCAGCCTGTTGCGAAAATAATCGATTAATTTTCATGCGTATTGTCTGCTTGCTGCGGTTATTCCGTCGTTTCACCTGGTGCAGTTTTCGAAAGCGAGATAGGGTTCTAGGCCCATGACGTCCGCCAATGGAGACGCTAAAAAATATGTTCGTTCAACTCTCACCACTGCACGCCAAATGCGTGTGCTGATACCATATCGAACAGCCAAATGATAAAGCAGGCTAAGCTGCTGAAAGATTGGCTGTCTATATTCTGCAAAATAAATCGGGAACTGCTGTCCTCGAACGGTGTAAACCATTCCAAACGATATAGACGTCAGACCTCCGTAATGAACGTTTTCTTTTGCGATAGATTCTCCGAAGGTAGCTGGACCATAAGCATCCACCAGCAAGCCACGCTGAACCGTCAAAGGATGGCGCCCCATGCAAGGCAAAAAGACTGACATAGTGTCGGGATGCTCAAACCGACAAGTTTTCATAATCATCGAATGGTTGGAAGTTCCATGAGCGTTCCCTTTGCACAATCAAACACTTGCTTCCTGATTACCCCGCAACGGATTCTCCGACACCAACCTACACGAGCTAGTGTCTTGAGACAAAGACTGTTGAACACCTGAAGACGTCTCCGTTCCGCTACTCGAACAGCCATGCGACAAAACAGCCCGTACTATAGTCTGATACACACGTCCCTTGAGATTCAGGGATATACCGCTTTGACGCATTAGGCGTTTCAACTTAGGAAACGCGACCCGAGCCTTACTGATTTGTGCGTTGACCTCATCTTTCACAGTACGATTGGAACTGATACGACTCCCAAGATACGTAAAACGCTACACAGCCTCCAGCGCGCCTCCTTGGATTGTAAGTGACCTGTCCAGTCACTGCCTGTCCATGAGCATGGCCTTACAGTTTGTGGGTGCAAAGTGCAAACCAAAGAACGGGATGACTTAGGCCAGTTCACCCAAAAATACCTGCGTCTTTGGAGACGAGAACGATGTCGTCTGCATATCCCAGCTCGACAAGGTTCTCGTCAGCGGCCATCTGAACACCGGGGTTTTGGAGACTTTCCAGCGCTCGTCTCATTATATCATCGACCACAAAATTAAATAGGAATGGAGATAGTGGGTACCCCTGACAGACACCACTTTGTGTACGGAGGCTTTTGGAGAGCTCTCCGTATACTCACGTCCGGGATTCTGAGAATACAAAGAACGTATTATGCTCACAAACTTCCGGGGCATTTTTTGATCGTCAAGCCTGTCAAAAAGAACAGACCACCGATGCCCCGGAAGCGTGACTGGTTTTGGACGGCGTCAGCGTTAGTAACGAGGTGATTAGAAAACGTATATTTGGTTGTGCGGCAGGTACTTTACTCGGGGCGAAAATCCAGCATCAGCGACTACGATGTCCCGGTCATGTGCTACTCATGCCAAACGGCCGTCTACCGAGACGAGTGTTCTCCGTGCCTCCTTCAGTATGGCGCAAACCGCGAGGTGAACAAGGCATGATTTGGCAGAAAGGCGTGGAAGAGATCACAAAGAGTTTGGGTGTTTTTGGTGTTGTACGCCTTCCAGGATGGGGTCCTCGTGACTCCGCCTGTGCTTGGCTGGAGACGTTGCAAGAAACGGCGGTTAATCGATGTCAGTGTCGTTCGTGCTGTCAGTTTCTTTCCAGATTGTCTGATTGAGCGGTTGGTGGTGTAGGCACCTCAAAATGCTTGACACAGGTCAGCACTATGTCCCCTCCTTCCCTCACTCTTTTTCTCTTCTTTTCGCTCCAGGTTTTTAAAATATAATCAAATGAACCTTATGATTCTACGGTAGTGAAGCATCAGTGTCAACACTGATGTTGCTGTCTTTTATGATGATCATGGTGGATACTTTTTTGGTGTTAGTGAATGGTATTATGTGGCATTATGATAAAAATTCTAGACCTTCATCACTGTTGTGAGTGACCGCACAAATGCTCCAAGAGGAGGGGCATACAGCGCAGTTTTCAT